AATGAGAGACTAAAATAACTAAATACTTTAATTTCAATACTAAATACTTTAAGGTTATAGTAAGAGTGTGACTAAAGACTTATATCGAGTAGACTGTCTACAAAGAAGATTTGGTAGATCTACTCATCTTGGTCTCAGTATTATAGTATAGTCAGTGAGCATGGGCATCTGAGTAGCCAAATTCTAGCCATTTTTTTTGCACCATCAAATCAATTAAAATCTAAGAAGCAACTGAACAAATTGTGTTTCCACTGGTGACTTAAGTAGAAATGTAAAAATAAGTTAAGTCTTTCTCTCCTAATCGAAGATACCATCGTTGATTTTGACCTCATTAAATTAAAGTTTACTTTTTAAAACTTGACTTTGAATTACATAAAAAGAGCATTCATTTCCCTTTAATTTTATACCAAATATAACATTTTCTGATAACAAACAACAAACTATTGAAGCCCAATCATAACAGGGTAGTGAAATAGTAATGAGCAAAATGAAGAATTCCTTCCAAAAGGTTGAAAAATAATTATGGAGAGAAAGAGTTAATGTTTAAGTAGACTAGCCTATCAGGAATAGATGGCCAACCATATACGTGCACCTTCTGAATTTTGAGTAGCCAAATTTTAGCCAATTTTTGTACACCTTCATATCAATTAACTTCTTCTAAGTAGTAACTTAACAAGTAGTTCTCCCACTGAAGTACAGTTGTAAGGATAAGTATTATTGTAATAACCTTAAGTAGACTAATTTGGAGTTGATGACCGACCATGTACGCTTTATTATAGGCTTGAAATTCTTTGCACTATAAAGGGCATCAAATATTCTTAAGTATGTTAATCGTTATGATATGTTTTCATTTGCACATAATAATAGTTATATTATATTTAGTTAAGGTCTAACACATATTAAATGTTGTTTGATTGTTGTTGTTTTTTTCTTTGTTGGAGAAATCCTTGCCAACTGTCTGTCAATGTGATAGATGTGAAAATTTCTTTAAACAAGAGTGAAGTGTGCAGTCATCTTGATAAATGTATATATATTTGTCTTGCACAGTTGAGGTCGGTGTTAGCGCTTGATAAAATGGCAGATGAAACACGTCCATCAGTTCACGATAGAGAGATATAGGAAAGTTCTTCACATGCCATTGTCTGAGTCAAAACAAATAAACGGAGTACTGGCAGCAGCAAGAAACTAACAAATACTACCAGAAGAATCATGAATTAACTGCCTTTGCTGGGTCTATTGGTGATAAAACTACAGATATTTCAGGCACTGAGCAGATGTCTTTATTGTTTGGTTTGTTGATTACAATTTTATTCCAGAAGACTTCAATTCCTCTTGTTCAGAGAGACGCACTGCCTGTGTCTAATGTCAATGTCAGCAAATACATAAAGTACAGTCTAGATTTGGACAAACTACTTGGCCAAACTACCATGGCTGCCCCGTGATGGTTAGCATTCAGAATAGTGTTCAGGCAAGGGTTCATGAAAAATAACTAAAAGCAGCCTTGTCTCACAGATTTAACCTTGTTATAAAAAACCAGAGTGACATTTCAGATATATGTAATGCTGTTGGTGTCATCAAGAAAATGTATCTGTTTCTTCTCTAACATTCCCAGGAGGGAACATTGGTGCTAAATTTAACTCTTTTGTGTGAGACACAATAGACTGAGAAATACAAATCCATTTGCGTTTTAAGTCATAGCTTTGAGGAAATCGTTGACTGTTTGGCGGATCTTAAAATAACGTCAGATAACCAGACAACTACACATGTGTAATCAGTGCCTGCTCCTCATGTGTTTCTGATTTGTCTTTTGATTGTCGTCAATTATTCATCTGTTTTGAACCAGTTTCCCTAATGTTGCAGTCTGTTTAACTTATCATAGTGGCCTCTCAACAGGACATCAGCAGTCATATTAATGACATAATCAAAACCCAACTTGAGCATGCTGAGGAACATCATGAGTCTGTTGGCAGACAAACTTGGTAACAGGTTGGTGCTACTGAGAATAATTTGCAGTCGACAGACACCCCAAGCAAAAACCACATGTTTGGATTTTGGATGTTATTACAGAACATGGCTTTACATTATATGTAAATTGGTTCCTTAGCTTCTTCATTTATGTCTACCTTTTTGAGCAATAATAATACCCAGTTCAACTTCTTTTGTCTTCACCCTAAAATGATGCTAGAGCTGCAACATGAAAAAGAATATCACCACAATAAGGGTTCATCTCCAGCTTGTCCGTTATGACGAGAAACAATTCATTAGTAAAGTTATTGACAGTTTTGGCAGCAACTGTCAACATCTGCAGTTTTTGTTTGTTGGGAGACACGGGCTGCACAGACAAAAGTAAAAAACTGTACAGTAAATAGTTTGTTCATGTTTAGTTTTTTTTTAATTTCATGAAAAAGTATTTACAGTGCACTTAATATTGCATAGGTATGAGGGGAAAGGGGGTACCAGTTCTTTAATATTCTCCATTTAATAAGAAGAACATTGAAACTACGACTTTGAGCAATATGTTGCAACTTTCATTCCCCTGCAAAAATCCTGCGGGCGCCAATGTCAGTGAGTCTTAGTAAGTAAGTAGATAAATCTAGATAATACTTTTAGAATATATATAAATTATAATATCTATCATATTTAGATATGTAGATCTATAATGACTATATATATACTAGATCTATTATATAATATCAGATAATGTAAAATTGATGTTATTGTTTTGAAGTCTAGATCTAGTAGTGACTAGTTATTATATAGATTCACAATATATACTTATATAAATATAGACTATCTATATTCTATATCTTAATAATCTTAGACAGATAGAAGATCTAATAATCTAAGTAAGACCTATAATATTATTTTACTCTAGACAGATTGTCACAGATCTAGACTCTATAAATTAGTTGGCTATATAATATAAGATAATAACTACTAAACTAGATGTAGATCTATTTATTAAATTATTTTTATAACTTCAATTTAACTTGTATTATAATTATACTTGTAACTTCTGAAGACCAGTGAAGTGGACTAAACTTCTGACTGTTCTGTGTGTTCTGGCGTATTACCCAAAAAAGTCAGACAAGGTCAAATCTAGAAGTAGAATATAGATATATAAATAAAATTCATTTTATTCTGCTTTAAATAGCAGATGTAGAACTGTCATAGATCCAGAAAATAAAATTGTTATTGTTGATAAAATATTACTCTATAAGACTAGAATCTAGAGATTCTATTATTATTCCCCTTGGTTCTTCATTTCCAAATTTACATTCGCTTTTTTTTTCTTTGAGGTTCAGATTATAATTATATTTCTAACTAGGTGTTCCATTAACTTGTATTTTTAGCGCTCCCCCCCCCCCCCCCCCCCCCGGAAAAGTTGATATTCTTAAGTATTGTGTAGTCTCTCTATACGTATGTAGCCTAGATCTAGCATTTGGATGTCACCATATTTTTTGGCTTGCTAAGTTCAAGTGCAACGGATAGTTTTTGTCTTCTGTGCATTATTAGCATCTATTACATACTCTTCTGACACAGCATACTACGCTGGCTCGGACATGTCACCCGCATGCCAGATGGAAGAATCCATAAAGACATTCTATATGATGAGCTTGCGGAGAGAGTCAGAACCAAGGGATGTCTCAGTGTCTGCAAGCGAGACACGAGAACCACAAGCGAAGAAAAAGAAAAAGAAAGCTGCCATATCAGCTAGCCATAAACAGAGCACGAACTGTGGCAAACTGCCGCTCCAGAATTGGCTTGATGAGTCACTCCAGATTCTGTCAAGTCTGTAGACGAAACAAAAATCAGTGACTCATCTGGGCGCATCTATAGTTTTTCGAGACAGAAGGAGCCATACAATTACAATATACACGATTTAGGGATGTCGGTAATAGTGATATTATATGCTGTTCGCCCAGATACGATTCTTATTACGGTCCACCCGTGGCGACAGTCCGGAGATATCCCACGACCAGACAGTCAACCAGATTGTCCATCAATTGGACGCGCACAACTGTTGTAATTTCTATAGTGCCTTGATACTAATCCTAGATGCATGTATGGTGTATTATAGATGCTAGTTCTAATGTTAAGACATACACCATCACAAACAAAGATGAAAAGGGTCAATGCCAGTAACTAAGTGCAATCGTGATGAAATAGAATAACGAAACTTCCTTGCAGAATGGGCCACAGTCGAGTCAGTAACTAGATGATGTTATCCCTTCCAGAGCCTAGCAGTAACTTTCCTAAAAGTCTACATCAATAATCTCTAGCCCAATGCCTATGTCGTCATTAAAAATGTCACGTTCAAAAAGTCAGTCAGCGTTTTTAAACTAAACTAAGTGTATTAACTCTGCGTAGCTCTATTGGTATGAGCTGTGGACCCTGCCCGCTGCCAACCCGAGCATTAAAAAAAAAAGTTGCGCTTTCAATAAAGCCGACACAATAAAAAGAAAGACGAAGAAGATGGGAAGATTATGTCAGGGATTCGGTTGTAGATTAACTAAATGTGTCACAGTGTTAGGTTATGGGGCAGTTGTGAAGTTATGAGATTTTCTTGAACAGGTCAGTCAATTCATGTGATTGAGAATACAGCAGTATTAGTATTTCCTAGACCATATACAAGACTTTAAAATCATAATTTGAAAAAAATTCAATTTTAGATGAAAAGTAATAGTTGCCTCAGCTTCGAATAAGATACCTGTACAGGTGATGGTAAAGTTGATTTTTTTTTAGCACTTTTAGTTTTGGAGATCTTTTTTTTTTTTTTTGAAGTTTGCCGTTCAGTTCTTTCAATCTATAGGGCAGATGAAATCATCTGTTTCTTTGGCCAAAGGTTATCGAGCAGAGTGTCTTGTAGCCAGCACAACAATCAACCGCCTTTACTTTTTCCAACTTAAGTCAGTCTTCACCGAGATTCAAACCAAAGACCCAAGGTTCAGAAGCCAAGTGCTTAACCACTCAGCCAACGCGCCCCCCCTTAAAAATGTCTACAACACGTGGTGCTCCCAAGCAGTCACCCATCTAATTACTAACCACTCCCGATGTTGCTTGACTTATGTGATTGGCCCAGAACCAGTAATTTCAATGTGGTATGGCCGTAGACTTAGGAGATCTAAATGTTACAAAAGACAAGTGGACAGACAGCACCAAACCAAAAGTTTCTTTTCCCCATAGGGGTAGAGCATCACTGAAAATAACAAAAACACTAAGAGGGTGAAACAATCGCAAAAAGAACATTTTATTTACTACAAACCCTTTAGCAAATAGAGAAATAAATCGAGCTTATAAAAATAATGTTAGTTGCACATTGAATAAAATAAATCAATATGAGCAAGAAAAAAATCAACAAATTTAAATCAACAAATAAAAGTTTGACCATTTAAAAACATGCAAACATCAACACATTGAATTTATTTTAAACTCATTATAAAAAGGATTTGCAAATGAAATATATCTAAACATTATCTTACATATGTATAAATTATATTACATAAAATAAAATGCTCTAATTTTTCAAAGGAGATTTAAAAAAACATGACATAGATTATTCAGCTTGCACTTCCATTAAAGGAGTAAATTCAGTTAGAGGATGATCTTAATAATGGATAATGTCAAGCAGCAATGTGGTTATTATGTAGTAAGAAACAATCAACTAGCATGGAGGTTAATCTTGAATGACTTTTATGTCTCAACATGAACATTACAATAAACCAAATATTTGTTTTAATGAATGACACATAGCCCACACTAACATCTTCTAACTGAAATGTGTATTCTGAATTATATATCTGTTTATAAACCTCATGCTAGCATCATCTAACTTAAATGTGTATTCTGAATTATACTATCTATATATAAACCTCACATTTTCGGGCTACCATGTTTAACTTGAATTATGTATATATTCTTATAAACTTGACATTAACATCTTGGGGCTTTATTGTATTTATGAGAACATTCAGAGCTCAACATTTATTGAATTGCTGTACTGTGAGAAGTGGTGAAGATATAGTAAGGCCCCCACAACTTACAGTATCAAGTTTTGTGCTATGTGGTGCCTGCCTGTTGATGGAAATAAATGAAAGATGTGAGAATTATATAACCTACCCCATTTACTTCTTAGTCTCTCATTAAATGCTATCATGATTGAACCTTCTGTCCCATTGAAAGGAAAATATGGAATCTTACTTATGTAGATGTTTCATAGAGTGAGCTATAAAGTGTAAATGTGTGATATTAACAGCCCAGAGCATTGGTGTTGTATATACATTTTTAATACTGTACAATATACACAAACGACTTCAATGGATTTAATGTTTTAATAAATAAATTAATATATTTCATGCCATGTAGATGACTAACTTCTCTATTATATAGTTTTTTTTAATAATTATATCAATGTATATATCTTGCTAGTAGCTCAATATATAAATTAAAATAAATACATTAAAAAGACCAAAACAGTGTGTGTTTGTCTGAAGCATTACAATAACATACAAATAGTTTTCACATTTGAGAATATTTACATAAACGTCCATCATACTTTAATTATCATGATTATCAAATTATAAACATGTAAATGCTTTTCATTATGTTTAATCAATATAAGTAGTTTTTTTTTTTTTTAATAAAATGAGATTAATGATATTGGCACATCTCATTACTACACCAAGAGATGACATGATCTAAAAATCACAGTCATAATAAATAAAACAGGTTAAACTAAGTAGGTGATTCTATGAGTGTTAGTCTGTTTCTCGATAGTTAGGTTCTACAGATATAAAATAGTCGTCAAAGTACTCAAACAAGTGTACAAATGTAGGTCGCTGTTCAGGTAACTCATGCCAACACTCTCTCATCTTCAGGTAAACTCCATCAGGTGTGTCTGTAGGTTTATCCATCCTGTACCCCCTCTCTACCTGCTCTAATACTGTTCTGTTGTCCATACCTAGAAAGTAAAAGTTTGATAAACATAAACCAAATTGTACATATTAGTAGAGGCATGCAGATGTCTCAATTTTCCTCATGCATCTCTAAACAAAAATTATATTTTGCAAACAAATAATGCACCTATGTTTTATTCCCAGTAAAAAAAAAGTGATCACAATAATTTTCACTCCCTTCATATACAACATTCAGGGATCACTTAAAAAAAAAATTTACATTATTATCAATTACAATCTTTAAAAAAAAATGCAAATTTTTTTTTTAAGAAATGTGGGGCAACATTAAAAACAATAACCAATGCTTATTATAATTCAAAGTGCGTCTAAAAGCTCTTGCAATAATTTTAAGATGTTTTTTCTTGATTGACATACACCACATATATTGCCCTCTTCAAAAGTATCTTTTTACAATCAATATTTTCTTCCAAACTAAATCCTTTAGCTATAAAGAATGGCTGGAATGAAGGATCCCAGCTTCAAGCAGGTTGCTAAGACCTAAGGTTAGGCAGCCAAAGCATGTGTTATTTATCACTTTCCCTTTCAATTATCAATTTTATGTAGAAAATAAAATAATGACCTCTAAAGCCCTTTAGACCTGTACATATTGCAACAGTCCCCAAAAGCATTCCCCTAAATGGAATTAATGGAATGCTTTAGTTGAAAGGTTATGGGGTTAATACAACCCTTTGGCAATAAAAAAAATTGACATGAACAAGGGTAGCATTAATTATTATAAGAAATTACAGAGCCATTTAATGACACTCTTTTAGATAGCATAGAATAATAATGTGGTTGATTTTTGTTAATGGAAATTTAAGATTTTATGCTATCACCACAACAAACAGGAGATTTGTACTTTCTTCAAATTATCCAAAATGTACCACTGATATATGGACAAGGGGACAAACTCAATCTCTAGAAAATATTCATTATTCAATTGTAATTATGTTCAAGAAATTATCATGCAAGTACTGTGACATTTTATCCACCCTCATGAGACATTATGTGCCAAAAAAAGCTACACATAATTTGGCACATATTTTATAACAGCTAAAAGTGTACTGTTGTGATATGTAGGGCTCTATTGGACATTTACTGCATTGGTATAAAATTAAAATGGAAGTATTAAAGATAGTATCAGAAGTATAGTGTACCTTTCCATATAGAGGCAGTATCAGAAGTCTACTGCACCTTTCCATATAGTTCAGTTAGCCTAAATTTTGGGAGTTAATGTGCTCTGCAGACCAATAGTTCTATATTTTGGCTCACCACACAAATGAAGAGCAAATTATTTTTAATTACGATAGTTGTTTTTTTTTTATGTCAGTATCAATTTAAAAAGGAAAAATATTTCTGGTAATTATTTTTAACAAGTGGGATAGGAAATGGTTGGTTTGGAACAGTCCAGGAGCAAAAGAAATTGTCATTCTAACCATCAACTTTCTATTGTTCATTTATTATGCTGACTAATGAAAGTCACTATGATATGTTAAAACCTCTTAAAATATTACAAAGTATAGTGCTTCTCACTGATAAGTCTACAGATAATGCTGTAGTATCACTGATAGGGTACTGATCCCAAGCTTTTTTACCTGGATATGGAATTCTGCCTTTTGTCATCAGTTCATAAAGTAATATTCCATAGGACCAGACATCAGATTTGACTGAGAATTTTTGTCTCAGAGCAGCCTCTGGTGCTGTCCATTTGATTGGGAAGCGTGAGCCTAGATTGTAAAATATTTATAAAAGTCAAAATACGCATTTCATTGCCTAGGGTTATGCAATTTCCCTATTCGTTATAAATGCCTTAAAAATAAACAACGATTGTAATCAGCCTTTAAGAACTTTGTTATTGCTTTTTATAAGCTTTGAAACAAAACACTTTAACTTTTCAATAAAGAACAACCTTTCTATTGTCAATTTTAAATGACCATTTTTGTTAACAATGCAATCCTTGATTTTAATATTGTCCCCATTTTTTTTTCAACTTTTGCTAAACATCCAGATTTTTTTTCCTTTCACAATTTATTTAACTTTTTCTTTCTTTTTTTTAAATTGTGCTTTTTACTGTGGCAGTAACATCAAATAATAAGCTAAACATTTTAAGTGTTTTTAAAGAACTGAATTATATTTTGGCTCTTCATCACCACATTCTATAACAACATTCAAGAAACAGTTTTTAAAATAGTTTAGTAAAGAAGAATATGTATTTCTAACCATTTTCTAACCAAATAATAATTGCCATAGCTCAATTGTGCAAAAATGTAAGTTTTAAGTTTCTTTTTAATATTGCAGATCTCTGATGCACATTTCAAGATTAAATAAAGTATTTCAAAATTACAAATATCTGAAAAAATAATGTATTATCCATAAGAAACATAGAAACAGAAAATTCAAAATGCATTATACAACTAACTGAACAAAATTACTTTAAAAATCAGTTAAGACAAGCAGTGTTTTAAAGTCCTGTCATATCACTTTGTTACAGTCACCTGGGCAATGCTTCTCAGCTACTACTTGGTGCCTGGATGGAAAAAGTCATTAGAGGAGTCATTAGGCTAGTAGGGTTAGTAGGGAAGCTAACATTACACCCGCTGGGTGCCTATGGATGGATTTCATTGCACTGGCAGGGATCCAAGAGAGCCCCAATAACCTAACCAGTCTTTATTTATACACTGTTCCTCAAGGGGCCATATTATGGCTGACACCTGCAAGGCTGATGCGGTATAGAAAAAAAAATAAGGGAGAGTTGCACTGGTGAGCTTGGCCTTCTGCCTCTTCTCTAACCAGAGTATCTTGGGATACAATCCATTGGTAATAAGAATGTAACAAATCACATCTGCTTGATTCCTCCTTCAGACAGGCCATTGCAGCAGGGGATAACTAGGAATTTTCCATCATTTGGGGGCTTGACTTCTTTGGGGGCCCCTAGATTTTGTGTAATATTTAATGTAAAAAACACCCATTTTAGGGGCTCGTCTCAAATGGGTGCCTGGGGGGGATTTTCAAATGTATCACAAATAAATACACTAAATACATATGAGTTTAGCTGATCATGTAGTAGATACGTCAAGTCCACCAACTTTCTCAATTATTATGTAAACTTCAACATTTTCACAATCTCACCTTGTGGATTATATTCTTCACTGTCCAAA